CCTGGGGGTGGGGAGGGGGGGAGCTGGCAGGGGTCCCCCCCATGGTACCCTCCCCCTCCTCCAGCCCCCCTGCTTACCAGCTCAGAGTCCCCCTGCTGCAGTGGGCAGGGACTGCCCAAATCAAAGCTCTTGGAATCTTTTCCAAATCAATTCGGAGAGCTTCGAATAGATTCGGACCTTTTAATTGGTCCCCTGAGTCAATTCGGATTTGGAGATTCAGCCACTGAATTGGGCTGACATTGTAATTGTCTAAGCAGTACAAAATGCAAAGAGTAAACTGCATTGTGCTAAATGTATCTACCTTGGAAAGGTGGAGTGCTCAGCTGAACTTGTCCTTCTGGAGAGGCTACAGACCAAATTTGCTAAAGCTTACAGCACCATATTTGAGTGGTAAGATTCTCACGGCCCCCTTCCCTGTTTGTAGGGGATGGAAATAGAGGAGCTTCTGCATTGGTTTAAGGTGTCTAACTACATTTGGAATGAAGGGCAGGGGGACCAGGGGATAATAAGGGGCTGGCACCATCCAAAAGGAGGACGTGGACAAAGACTGTTCTTTTTACTGTATAGAAGGCTACTCTTATTGGTAGGGCTCTTCTGGAGAGAGCTCTGCTTTGGACGTTAGAGCTGCATCCCCCATTCTCCCCACTGCCAGAGCCAGGACTTTGCACTCCGTTTTAGTGTGTGGTGCTCAGTAGATGCTTATAATGAACCCAAGCAAGGGATAAGCAGTCTGAATTTTCATTGACTTAAAAAGTAGTCATGGAAGAGCATCAACCTGGAAGATGGGGCCTAGGGTGCTTCTTGGGGCTGGTAACAGGGGGTAGGATGGTGCAATTTGGAGCAGCACAAGGCGCCTATGCAGCAGGATGCATCTGTGGCTGAGTGGGGTCGGGGTGCTTGTGGCCTCTGGCCACTTGCACGTCCCACAGTGCTGGTTTCCTAGAAAACGGAGTTTGTGAGATTCCTGTGAACTATTAGGCAAAAAATAAGGGAAAAGCCTGTTGCAATAACCCTTTCCCTTCTAATGCTCCTCTACTTTTATCCTCTATGAAAGAGGAAGGGAGCAGTGGGAATCTCACCACTCAGATATAGTGCTGTAAGCTTTAGCAAATTTGGTCTGTAGCCTCCCCAGAAGGACAAGTTTAGTCGAGCACTCCACCTTTCCAAGGTGGATATATTTAGCACAATGCGGTTTACTTTGTGCAGTTTATACTACTTAGACAATTATATCATTTTGCTATAGGACTTCGGTAGTAATATAGTGGCCAGAATTTCCCCTTTCCTTTGTTGTAGAAGTATGCTGAATGCCAGAGAGTTGCCACTTCCTCACCCCAGACGTAGCTATATTTTAAGGAGCCTGTGTATACCAGATTGTAAAATATCTGGGGGGGGTTTCAGGGAAAGAAAGGAAATCGAAGACTGTATTCTTCTTTCAGATCTGACTGCAGGTTTAGAGGGCTCCCAGCCAGCAGTAAAAAGCAGTTTTGCGGAAACAGCTTTCTTAATGATCTTCTCACAGTGATAATGGCCAGAGATTGGGAACTTGCTTGCACTGACAGTTCATGTTCAGACATTTCCTTTTGTCTTCTGTGCCATTTGGAGGTTTTCCCAGGACATTTTTTCATCACTCTTCCTCCAGTTGTTTTTAATTCTGTTTACTGGTGCTGAAGAAGACTTGGGACAGTTAGTCACAGTGCCATGGAATCAAACTTGAATCGGCACTCAAAGGCAAAAACAACTATTGCAAAACAAGTAGAAACACACAGGCTGGCATATTGTATATAATAAAATGCATAGCTTGTCAGCAACTAATGGCAGTTTGGATAAACCCAGTTCTGACACGTTAGTCTCCCAAAGGTCTCTCTCATTGCCTTGAGATCATCTTGATTGTGGACACCAAGGCCTAGGTATCCACACTTAATATTCTATATACCATTTTGGCTACCATAGTATACAGTTTTGAGTAACCACAGTCTGTGGCCACGCATCAGCCTGCCACCTGCTATTTTTCCCCATAAGCTTTTTGTCTTTCCAATACAGTTTTGCCAACCATGGAAACTTTCAGGAACCTAACCCCAGTGGTTGACGAGGAAAACCTGTACAAATACCCTTCCTCAGGCTGAGGAAGCATCTGCATTTGGTCTGTGCTCTTCCTGGATGGAATGAATAGTAAAGAACCTATACCCAGATACTGCCTATACCAGTGAATACTGGGAAAGCACATGGAGTGTCATGTGATTATTTTGTAATCCAAGAGAATAATTCTGAGTTCAGTAAACTATGTTTTGTTTTGTAGAAAAAGTGAATAACTTTCCACCGCTCCCGAAATTTATTCCTCTGAAACCTTGCTTCTACCAGAACTTCGCTGATGAAATCCCCATAGACCATCGGACTCTGGTGAAGAGAATCTACCATTTATGGATCTGTAAGTTAAATGATGAAAACACACTTAAGAAATTATGTATATTAGACTCAGCAACTCCTAAAAAAATACAGATTTCAATAATTCATCACCTACCTTAGACTTTCAGCAGTGTTCATGTATCAGAAATGCAGCACTTCTTCTAGAATGCCGTAGCATGGTGTGTGGTTGGATTCTAAAACTAACCACAAAACTTCGTTAAAAAAAATCTTAGTTCTCTAAAAGGCTGTATATAGAATTAAAATCATGAAAGTTGTGAATACAGCAAATATAGCACCTGTTATTCACCAAGTCCCAGAATAGAGGAAGTAGGGGGCACTCGTTAAAATTATCATGAGACAGGTTTAAAACAAAGAGGAGGAAATACTTTTTACACTGCAAGTATTTAATGTGTGGAATTCACTACCACAAGGCTATAGAGGCAAACGGTGTCAGTGGCAGATTAAGATTTAACGGTGCCGTGGGCAAACAGAAAATTGGAGGCCCCCCACCAGACAATGGCAGGTTTCCTCTGCACCCACCAGGGGGCTGTGGCTGAGCCCGCCTGGCCTCTTTGGTGCATCTGCAGTGAGCCAGGAGGCATGAGCACCACTGAGGTGAAGGCAGCCCTGGTCATGGCTCCGGCCTGACCTGGCCTCTCTGCCCAGTGGGTGTCGCACAGCTGGGGCTGCAATCCCCCAGTGCCATGGGATGGGACAGGGTTGGCTGTGGGGAGCCATGGGCCCAACCCACCCCTGGCTACCTGCTTGCCCCTCTCCTGGCTGCAGCAGGCAGGGGCTATTCTGTCCTGTTCTGTCCCAGTAGCGCTGGTGCCAATGGCCAGCAGAGAGTGGGAACACGGCCACCCATGGGGCCTCCTGGCAGCAGACAGCTCTGGAAAGCTGCCGCCACCTGCACAGAGGTACATGCTTGGCCCTGGAGGGGAGGGGAGGAGGCTCATGTTACCTGCCCTGGATGCCCGCAGCCAGGATGCCTGCCTGGGCTGTGCTGCCTCAGGGGGCCCCTGCCCCTGAGTGTGCACCCATGCGTTCATCTGCCCCCGGATGGTATATAACTAGTTCAGTCATTAGTCATGCTTTGTTCATATATTCTACCCCCTAAAGTGTCTACTGCTTGTCAGAGGCAAGGGACTGGATTAGGTGGACCTTTGGTCTGATTCAAGATGGCATTTCTTAAGCCCTAATAGGAAGGGAATTACATTATGGTCCTTGCATCTTAAGCATATATCCTGTGATCAGTTGCACTTGGGGGATACTCTTAATTCCAATAGGACTCTGTGTGGATGTCAGGTTCTTATCACATGAGCCTATCTGCAGGCTCAAGGCTTAAAACAGCATATGGATTTTTGTTGGTTTGTTCTTGTTCTTTCATTCAAACTATCAGTAGTCTTTCTACCTGTGGGGTCTTGTCTCTTCTCCTTTTTCCTTTTTTCTTTCAGATCTCAAATAGCATTAAGTAAAATCCTCGCTGTAGTGTTGATAACCCCCATCCAACCCAAGAGGAGTCTTCTGCTTTTCAGAAGATTCCCTACATTTTCAGTTCTCCTTAGCGTACAGAGCTCCCCTCAATCTGATTAGATGGGCAGCGCTTCTGTTATAGTCACAACTGGCCAGATGTGATTAGAAGCCCTTGGCTGTACTGTTGGCTTCCACTGAGCTTTTATTCTCCCATGGAATCATTTTGTCCCCAGATGGAAAGCAGGAGTGGGAACAGTTGTACAGAGAGGGGAAGGGGAAATTGGATGAAAGACCTGAAGGGTTGAACCGGTAGAAACCAAGAGGGTAGAGCAGAGGAAATACTCTGGAAAAGGGGGAAATCCCTTCTCCCAAACCGGTCTTCCCAAAATGCTTGCCATTCCACCTGCCCTCCTTTCACTATGGGATATATAATATACAATTGATGGGGTGGCTTTTATTCCAAATGTATGGGGTGTGTGTGTGAAAGTACTGTGTGCTTATAAATAATAGTCTAATCTATCACTCCGTTGTTCTTTTGTTATTTAGAGAGACTGAAATGAGCTCTGTAATTTTCATCCCTGAAGAAACTGCTCGCCTTCTCCAAACTAACTAGTTAAATGTTGTATGCTCTAAAGCAGCCTTTGTATGCGACTCCCTCCTCCCCTCCCCAACAAAGCCCCTCATTCAAGTTGATGGAAAGATGGAAATATTCCAGCCATTTAAACAACTGGGCTCATGTATGTCTGCGCAGACCTGAGCTTTCCGCTATGAATTTCAGATTTCCATCTGCTGCACATTTGTTTGGGTTTATCTGGCTTTTTGGGAGGGGTGGAAGAAGAGAAGTAAAAGAATCACTTGCACAAAGGAGAGAGCAGAAAAGATTAAGCTAATATTTAAAATGGGAACCTGTATAAAAAGATGGCTGAAGGCTCATTATTTTAACTGGGTCTGAACATTTAATAACAAAAGATGGATGGAGATTTGGGAAAACCTATACCAGAACTCCTACTACTGGAGAACAAACTCCTATAGAAGTCATGTAATGAACCTCTTTTGTTCTGCTTTACAACTTTAAAGGCACTGTTAGTTCAATGCATTTTTATTGGCTTGTTTTAATATTCCACATGAGTTCTCAAACTAAATATTCCAAAATCTCAGGTTAACAGTTTTAACCCATTCTACCTGATTAATTTACATGATTCTTTTTTCCCTTTCTAAATCTTAAGGCCTCTACGAACCAGAGCATTTAAAGCAAAGTTGTTCTTAACCTTTTAGCTGTTAACAAATGTTTTGGGAGCAATATCTGTGCAATTGAGAGAGAAAGAGTTTGTTAAAATAAAGAGGACCCAACCATTAAATGTATAAGCAGTTGGAATAAAACACATCTCCAAAAGGCCCAACTGTTTATCTTCCTAGTGCGGTGTGTCAGCGTGTAACTTCTTAATTGCTCAACATCCCTAAGTGGCCGGAGGAGCAGGCAGGTAGGTAGGTGGAAGAAGGCAGGTTTCTGTGTATGTTTGGTCAAACTTGTGAGGCCATGTTTCTGTTGAGATGTAACATTAACCTCTTTTTCAGTGCTGCCGCTCTATTTCTAAAGTCTCAGGGAATGAGCTCCACATACAGAAGCTGCAGAGTGTAGAACTTCTTAGTGTGTATGCATTATCCTCGACAGTAATCTTTATTCATACGTAGAGGGGTAGCAACTTTGCTTAAAGTGATGCTAGCACTCCTTACACTTCAGCGTTATTTGTTCTATTCCTGCCGAAGGGGCAGGAATGGGCCCACAAGTGGCTTTTAATTCACTTCAGTGGGCACTGACAGCATGCAGCTCCCCACTCTAACTCGTGGCACTTCACAGAAAGAACCATGAGTTAAAGTGACTTCCCTCCCTCCCTCTCAAACCAGTAGACATTTGCTGTTTGGTGCGGGGGATTGAGCTCCATTTTGGAGACAATCCAGCAGAGAGAAGCTAGCCGTCCTAGCTTCCACCCCACTCCCCCCAGCTCTGGTGCTGTCTGCTGCATGGGAAGTGGGAGGGAGATCTGGGCTGGGGTTTGCCCAGCCTCAGCTGGAGGGAAAGGCCTCTCTCCAGCGCCATAAGGTGGGGGGGCTCCACTCCACCCTTCCGGGTGCAGCTCGGTCTGGGCAAAGCCCAGCCCAGAGCTCCCTTTCTTCCCTCCTGCCCCCTCCCATCATGCAGACAGGGGCAGGGCTGGGCTGCATCAGCCCAGCCCAGATTGCACATGGGGACTGACAGGAGTTAATGAAGGCACTCTGCTTTGGAGTGCCTTCATCTCAGCCCTCATTAGATGAGGGCTTATTTTGTTGAGTGATTGGGCACTTTTAAAGTGTTCTGCAGCCATGCACTTCTGACAGGGCACAGCTGTAGAGCACTTTCAGGGGCTGATCACATGACAAATGTCACTTCTGTCAGTGCCTGGTACTTCCTTATTCTGTGCTCATTCAGGGTTTGTATTAGAGTAGCCTCGGGACTGCAGTAATTTCAACACTGCTTCCCTTGGGTTTTGAGAAGCAGATAATAACCACGTCTGCTTCTCATCAGACAATAGCTACCCTTACTTTTGTGCTGGGAACAAGCCCATCAGAGATGCCCTGCTATGTCTGTTAACCAAGGCAGTTGTTTTTGCAAAGGGTGTTCTCTTCACAAGGGTATTTCCAGGCTTTCAAAGGCCATTGTACATCACTGGTATCAAAGGGGTTTTTGTATAACTACGAATTAGGCTTTTCATTTGTACCAGTAGTCAGCCAAACCTGATCTTCAGCTGCTCCCTGCTCCCTTTGCTTATCAGTTGTATTACTCTTTCCAGTGATGTGTCCCCACATGAGTTCCTTGATCTTTCTGCTAGTATCGGGCCCACTGGGAAGCTGACATGACATAACCCGCATATCCCTTTGTCTATAACCTGGAAGAATAAACTGTTCTTTGTGGTCAGTAATCCTCAATGGTTCAATATCTAGTTGGGAGGAGGTATCAAACAGGGTTCCTCAGGGGTCTGTCCTGGGTTTGATATGGTTCGACACCATTATTAATGATTTGGATGATGGGATTGAGTGCAAGCTCAGCAAATGTAACAATGACACAAAGTTGTATAGAGTCACAGACACACTAAAAGGGCAGGGCAAGGATCCAAACTGTCATGAGATGAGATTGAACAAAGATAAGTGCAAAGTCCTATACTTGGAATGGAATAATTGCATGCACACGTGTAGACTGGGGAATGATTGGCTAGGCCGCAGTACTGCAGAGAAGGGCCTGAGGGTAGATCATAAACTGAACATCAGCCAACAGTGTGCTCTTATTGCAAAAAAAAAAAAAAAAAAGCCAACAGCATCCTTGGCTGTATTAACAGGAGCATCACTTACAGATCACAGGAAGTGATTCGCCCACTCTGTTCAGCACTAGCAAGGCCTCACCCAGAGTAGTGTGCTTAGTTTTGGGCCTTGCACTTCAAAAGGATGTGGATAGGTTGGAAAGAGTCCAACAAAAATGATTAGGGGCCTGGGAGGCAAGGCTTAAGAGTAAAGGTTGAGAGAGCTAGGTTTTATTTAATCTGGAGATTAGAAGACGGAGGGTGGAGGGGAGAGACTTGATAAGCCTTCAGATACCTCAAGGGCAGTTACAGAGGTGATGGAGATAGGCTTTCCTCTGTGGCCGTAGGGGGATGGACTAGGAGCAATGGCTTCAAGCTGCAGCAGGGGAAATTTAGGCTGCAGTTCAGGAGGAACTTTCTGACCCTGAGGGTGGTCAAGCATTGGAACAAGCTGCCCTGAGAAGCTGTGGAATCTCTATCCGTGGAAATGTTCAAGAATAGGTTAAACAGACAATTGGCTAGGATAGCTTAGTCAGGGACAATCTTTCAGTCTTTCTCTGAAGCCAACAAACAGCACTGCCTACACTCTCTGTTCTCTCTTCACAGTTTACTGCATCACACTATTGGTGAATATTATTGCCTGCCTGGCATGGTGGCTTGCTGGTGGTTATCCTGTCAATTTTGGCTTGGCCATCCTTTGGCTTGTTCTCTTCAGCCCTTGCAGTTACATATGCTGGTTCCGACCCGTATACAAAGCCTTTCGGTAAGTGGTTCTCCTGTTTCTGCGTGGCTCTTTCAGCATATATTTTATCAGGACTTCAGTGACCACAAGAGGATCTGTCTCTTGGGGGAAAGAGTGAGGGCTGTGAGAAGAGAAGTGGAGTATTAAGGTGCAAAAACGTTTGGTTAAAAGTGTCTGACTAGTTTGTGGCAATTTAGGATGAAGGCCTTCCCACCTATGAGCGTACAGTTTGAATCTAGCCATGCTGAGAGTGGTGGAGCGTTGCTAGCATTCAATGCCAGCTTGACCTACCTGTTTTGTTCTACCAGTAGCAGCTAACAGGAACCCCATTGTAGTAAGTGCTGTATAGATATTGAGTAAGAGATGGTCTGTGCCTCACATCGTTTACAGCAGTGGTTGTCAATCTGTGGTCTGTGGACCATTGGGGGTCCACAGGTTGTGTCTAAGGGGTCTGCGAAAGATGACTATGATCAATCAAAAGTATGTAAATACCCACACTCAAAATTCAAAGGGGTTCGTGCTTCCATTCAAAAGTTTTTAGGGATCTGCAAATGAAAAAAGGTTGAATACCACTGGCTTACAGCGTGAAAACACAAGACAAAGGGCAGGGCTTGGTTAAGGAAGGATACAGACCGCAAATATTCAGGCAGGGTAAAGAATGAAATGAGTATTGAGACTTCTCCATTCCCACAAAAAACACCACGTGACACGCAAGCTGCATTCTCGTTCACAAACAGATCAGGGTTGAAAAGATCACGGAGACTGAACGACCTCTTGTGGAGAGTTACTTCAAATAGAGGCTGATGCATCAGGGGCATGGCTTGAGACAAGCGTTTGAATTGCTGATGACTGATTTGTCTTTTCTGACGTCACCAGCAGCGCCAACTAGTTTCACCCTTCTGAGAGCTTTTAATATTCACATCAAAATAACCATTTATTTTCACTTTGAAAAATAATTTTCCTGTGATGGGGCTAGTTACACATCTACATCCCTCTAACATTAAAGGAGACATTGTCTTTAAAAGCTTGTTGGAAATTTATGGCTCTCAGTTCTTTCCTGGAAGACCGTTGGTGACAAGTTACTAAAAATTCCTGTTTCCAGCTCTAATGCAGCATGTAGCTGCTCTTATTTTTAACTAAAATCAGCTTAGTAGTCTCAAGCCCTTCTCCAGCTGCACAAATATTTAAACTCCTCCTACATTATTAATTTAGTTTAAAAATTAATCGTGCCTTGCATTTCTGTAGCACCTAATGGGATTTGCAAAGCATTTTGAAAGTATTAATGTACAGTGCCTCACAACCTCTCTTCCAGGGGCTCTTGATTTCCTCTGTGCAAAATGGGGGGAACCAACTTGCCCAATCTCGCACAGTGAGTTGCTGTCAAAGTTGGCACCAGAACCCAGGCACCCAGCACCCCTCTTCTGTAGATTACCTTCACTCTGCTACCCTCCCAACACTAAAGCACTTTCAGATTTTTTTTAATTTATTTTTTGAATTATCATCTTGTCCCTCGTTAGAGACTTTCCTTATTTTCTGGCACCCAGCATGCATTTTTCCCCCCCCAAAACCAGCAGTTGGATATTGGACATCATATGTGAAGAAATATGGCAACAGCAGCTTTTACTGCTTAAGCTTTGGCTGGGTAAAAGTAAAGTCTGCACCCAGTTCACAATGTGTAGAGCAATGAGCAGGCTTCACTCCATAGCTGTGGCTGTTCATCTACAACAGGGGTGGGCAAAATGTGGCCCGCAGGCGGGATGCAGCCCACCAGGCCAGTCTAGCCAGCCCGCGGGACCCCTAAAAAGTTTAGAAAATTCATATTTATCTGCCCCTGGCTGCCTGTCATGTGGCCCTTGATGGCTTGCCAAAACTCAGTAAGTGGCCCTCTGCCCGAAATAATTGCTCGCCCCAGATCTACAACAAGAAAAGATCTTTTTTTTTCCTTCATTGTGCCTTTCAAAAACAAAGTGTGTTATTCCAGGGCATGTTGCATGCAAGAAAATATGGTAATTCTTAATAAGTAGAAGCAGCTGATTGGAATCGACATCAACTTTTGGGGCCCAAGATCAAAGAAGGGCATAGACAAGTGCTTAATTTTAAGCATATTTTTAAGTGTTGTCCTGAATCTATTCTCAGGTGCTTGTTTTGAACACTAACGTAATGTGACTGTTAACAATGGAAAGAACTAAAATGTTAGCCAATAAGTAACTTAAATTGTAGGAGGCAAGAGAGGAGAATTTTTAACAGGAAGTGAAGGAATTGGACTCATCTGAGGTTATTTGGTTTCTTTTGGGGGTTTTTTTAACTAAATGAAATCTGAGAATCTTTGCTGTATCGTGCTGGGTTTTTCTTCCCCTTTCCTAATTCGGGAGCCTCTGGGGATTCCAAGTCAGTAGCAGAACTCTGTTCAAAGAGCATTTTCCATTCTAGAGTCTGGGAAAAATTACTCCTCCACACTGTCTTCCTCTCGGCTTCTCAGAGACAGTTCCTAGTTATTTTTTTTTTAATGCTGCTTGTATGTGTTTGTGCAACTGAATGCTGGAAGACCCTTGAGGGTACCCTATATACATACTTCTGAATGTAATCAAGACCCTAGGGAGAGACCAATGAACCACAAAACAATTAGTTTGACATTTAGTTGTGGGGGAGACTTAAAATAAGGGGCATTAGAGGAAATCCGTTATTGGAAAGGAGTAGCATAGCCAGATTAGGCGCCTGTACACGTGCAGTGAGGCTGCTCTGATACGCTGTAATTGCAGCAATTAATTGAGTCTGCTGGAGCGTGGCAATTACTGAGCTCCAGCAGATTCCTGTGTCATGCGTATCCGCATCCCTGTGCTGAAAAATGGCAGCAGGTCGATTTTAACTAAAGCTCATTCAACAAGCTTTAGCTGAAGCACCCCCGCTGCCATTTTTCAGCATGGGGATGCTGATGCATGTGATGCTGCAGGCACTTTAATTAGAGCGGCTCTCAGAGCTGCTTTCATTAAAGCGCCCTCCCCCACCAACCCCTGGAGCACGTCTGTAAACACCCACTGATCCCAGCCACTCTGACTTCAGGAAAGGTAAGTCAAGCCTACTTGTCATACGTATCCCAGAAAGTTACAGCCATGGTTGTTAAAATCATGTGCTTGGTAGATGTTTCCAGAAAGCATTCATCACATGTCCACTTCCAGAGCTGAATTATATTGGAGCCTTGGCAGGGCAGCAGAGGTGTTGCAAACTTGTAGTGGAAGGCTGGATCTGAATTCCACCACTTGCGTCCTCTAGCTGCTTTCCCCCCGCCTCCCCTCAAGTGAAGACTCCTTCACCCTTCCACATTCCCAGTTTGCTCAAGATCCAGCCTCAGACATCATCCTTTTGCTAATCTAGGTACTGGAATGAATAATCATTTCTGTTGCAACAGATGTGCCATGATCTGAATGTCTGAAAGAATCGCAGGTCACCAAATCTACTTCACACCTCTGGGGTAACTGGAAATCAGGGCAAGATCCTTCATTGACCTCTACCCTCTGCTGGAAGGAGCAGTCATCCGGGTCTGACCACTCATGAAGGTCCCTCGCCAAAATACAGGACCTCCACTTAACCCAGGAGGTGCACAGCCCCACCAGGGGGAATGCCCTGCTAGACCTGGTCCTGGCCACAGGCGATGACCTGGCGAGGGGCCTCCAGGTCCTCGACCACCTGGGCGATAGCAATCATCGCTTGCTGGAATTCACCATCCAGCGCAGGGTGTCAAGGGCCTGCAGCAAAGCAGTAGCCCTTGATTTCAAGAGGGCCAACTTCAATAGGTTGAAGAGATTAGTGGGAGAGGCACTGGGGTCCTGGAGAGTAGGGGAACTGGGTGCCCAAGATGAGTGGTCGTTCCTTAAGGAAGTGATACTGCGAGCCCAAGGGGTGACAATCCCAATGAGAAGCAAAGGGGGCAAGAGTGTCCAAAAGCCCCCCTAGCTCACCAGGGCATTCGGGAATGCCTGATTCTCAAAAAGGAGGCATACACCCAGTGGAAGGGAGGGGCTATCACCAAAGAGGAGTATACCTCCACCGCTTGGGTCTGTAGGGGGGCTGTTAGGAAAGCTAAGGCAGATACGGAACTAGGGCTAGCATCAAGGATGAAGGATAAGAAGAAGTCCTTTTTTAAATACATAGAGAATATGAAGAAGGCACCGGGTAATGTGGGGCCCCTGCAGGATATGCTAGGCAATCTGATGGTTGCACCAGAGGAGAAAGCAGACCTCTTTAACAATTTCTTTGCCTCTCTTTTCTTGTGCGGGGACCAGGACTCCCCTA